ATTTACATTTGAAAGGCAGCAAGGTTTGTATCATAACAAGGTCATCTCTAGCCTCACTCCCGTTCAAAGGCTTGGCAACCAAGCACACAACTGTAAAATGGACTATTACATGTTCCAACACGAAATGTATACTCCGAACCTCTCCGAAGCTCCGCCTCCAGTTAGAACGGTATTTCTTTGGTTGTCAGCGTTATTAAATCGCCTTCTGTACTACAAAACATCTTAAAAATGCTCATGCTACATTGCTGAACAAGTTTACAAGAATTCTAGCACTCTAGCACGCACACAAAGCAAAGTACTTAAACAAATGAAAAATAACTGAATAAAAAACTGAATAAAAAGCTTTTGTTAAAAATTGTTCGTCATCAACGTAGAGACAATATGCTTGGGCTTCTTGCGTTCAAACATCTGACATCTTTTACTTAATGAAAAACGTGACATTTGATAATAGTTTTAATGCAGTAGTGATCGACTTCACTGTTTTGAGCAAGCTTTAAAAAGGAGAAAAGAAAGAAAGATGGTTATGTAAACAAATCTGAACATACCTGCGGACCGGGATCCCCTCGGTCACCTTTCGATCCCGCTCCACCAGGTCGGCCCTGTCAAAGAAATTCACGTGGTGAAAGTCACCATGAGTTTGCGTGCTTAACTAGCGGGGAAAATCAACGGATGCTATAATTTCAGGATGTAAAAACCCTCATCAATTTCCTTTACAGTCACCCTTGTTCTCGTCCTTAAAACGGACAAGGGAATTTTATCCACCTTCTTTGCAGACCTTGCGCCAAGATATTCAATAACTTACCGCATTTACGTGAGAACGTAAGCTGCAAAAGGTCAAACGAATTTTGCTGTTTCTTAAACATATCTAAACGAACGCAGAAGAAGTTAATAGCTTACCGGTGAGCCTGGCTGCCCTGCGGCACCTGCGTCACCTTTCGGCCCTTGGTCGCCCTAGAAAACAAATTCACTTTTAACAATTTACTTTAAGCACAGCTAACTATGTTCCGTCTAAATTATCTCAAATACCACATATGTAATGCAGAAAGCGATCCAATAGAAAAGAGCAATCAATGTAAGAGATGATAACGAGGCAAATTACCTTCTCTCCAGGTCGTCCATCACTACCGGCTTCACCAGGTTCACCTTGGTCTCCCTGTGGAGTTGACAGTCGGTACGTTTTTATTGTCTCAAACACTTACATCTTCAGTGGGCTATCATTGCAAACAATAGGATAAATCACAGTTTTGGTCACATAAACCTGACTTATGGATAATATCTTCAGGGATGTCACTAACCTTAGTTCCCGCCCGTCCAGGTGGGCCGCGAGGACCTGGTAATCCGGCAGATCCCTTTGAGAACAATGAAGTAATGACATCAAACAATGAAACACGCTTTCCAAAATTTAATTCGTCAGGTAGATGTTTCTTTATCTTCTTAATTGAAATATAGCATGAGTTACATCGCAAGGATGAAACTAACGCGGCACCATGATGTAAATAAAGTAATAATTCATACTCAGTTACCAATATGTTGGAAAAAATTTTAAGTGATCGAGAGGTCAGTCTTTCGTTCAAGATATTACATTGAAAGACGTGCAGCGCAAAGACTCCTGCTGACTACTGAAACAACATAAGGAAAGAGGAAAGCACGTCAGAGTCCGAGTACTTGGTCATATTCGACAAAAAAAGTTGAAATTAACGTCACAGAATCTATTGCTCTAACATCAACACGACAAAAATCCTAGAGGATAACTGATACGCGCATTATCATCGTAATTCACGATTAAAGGCGCTCCTTAGACAGATTACAGATTAAGAAAAACTGACTAATTACTTAGAGCGATTTTCAATCGAGACTCATAAGAAATTAATCCAAGATTGTGGTTTGGCTTCACTTTGCTTTGTGATTCGTCCACAGAATTTGGGCCATGCCCTCAGTCGATCAATTGAGTTACTAAACCTTTTTCGCGACCTGGTCATCTGCGTTTTCGCGCGTTTAAAGTCCGTTACATGTATTCACTTCGAGTTACCATTGGTTGCCTGCTAGCTTCGGCTTTGATTTGATTAGCTGCAGCGTTTGCTACGGTCTAAGTTTACAATGCTCAATGGAAAAGTACTATGGACGCACGAGCAATCAGAAACTGTAGAATTGATAACACGTTATCCACAACAATGCCTTCCCGCGTACGACTGAGACTATCATTTTCCAACAAACCTGTGGTCCACCTGGCCCTCTTTCACCTTTCTGTCCTCTGGGTCCAGGAACGCCCTTCGAAGAAGGAATCAAAAAAATATCCAAACTATTACATCACTACAATTTCACCCTCAGCCCCGGCGCTAAAATTATTTAAGACTTTTTTCCTACCGGCACTCCCGGAGCTCCACTAGGCCCGGGTGGTCCGCGTCCTCCGTCGCTCCCTTTCTCGCCCCTCGGGCCAGTGGCCCCTTGGGGTCCAGTCTCACCGGGCGGGCCCTACGGAAAAAAAATATGCGTTAGAAATTCAAGCACAAGTGATAAATAACATCGTAAAGTCATTAAAAGTTACAACGAACCGTGCCGGTTTCTATTGCGAAGGTGAAAAGTACCACTGAACCAAAACGAAACAAGAATGGAAAGCGCACGAGAAAGAGGAAAAATCTCAACAGACAACAATCAAACCGGTTGAAACCTGTAGCTTAGTAACTACTAGTGCACATTTCAAAAAGTGACCTCAAATTCGTCATTTCCATCCCGTTGTAATCATCCCCATCTGTTGCTAGTCTTGTTACTTTGAACCTCAATCTTTTTATTATGGGTTCAACAATCTTATAATATGAATATCTTACAGCACAGAGAAAAGCGCTCTCTACTTTAATACTCGTAGCACAGACCCTCGAAGCTCCCTGCTCAGCTTTTAATACTTACAGTTGGTCCAGTCTTTCCCGGTGGGCCAACGGGTCCGGCGGGGCCTGGGGGTCCCTGTAAAGGAGGGGGAATAACAGTTGATGGATACTCTAAGTCTTCGAACTAGTTACGTCCTTAATTGTATCGTTAAATCTTGATACCCATTAACTGTTTTCAGTCTTCGAACTCGTTGGTTTGGAAACCCCTTGCAGCGCACTTGAAACTTAATGATTAGCTTCCGCATTAATCACTACACAGCGAATGTTGTTGTTCACAAGTTAATGTTATATCAAAAGAAACCTACCATTTAGGACAAATCAAGTACATGCCTACACTCGATTCAGAATTTTCCTGCCTTACCTAAATTTGAAAAGCGCCACGGGCGCAAATTTGAGGATTTAATTCTATGACTCGTACTGACTTCCAAATAATGTCTTCATTTTTTACGTGAAATAAAAAATTTTGCCATTCTTTCTGATTTACTTTTATTGTTGATGATGAAAAACGGTTGACTTCACGATGCCGTTAACTTAGAGAGACACACCAGAGATCAATTTTGCTATTCTCCTTACTGTCTGCCATACAATTCTTTTGATGTTAGTTCAGAGAATTTGGTGTTGGATCAACTAATAATCTCTCAATTGATATTTTTTATTATTCTCGTCGTTTGTCTGCTTGATATTGTATCGACATTTTAAGAAGAAATTCCCTCTTGGTCACTCATATGGGTTCATCTCACTCATATGGGTTCATCTCACTCATATGGGTTTATCTCACTCGTATGGGTTCTCTTGGTCACTCATATGGGTTCATCTCACTCCAACGAAAAGCGATCTACGTCCGATTTTACTAAACACGTCATAATTGACCTTCGGTCCTTGTGCTCCTTTCTTTCCCGGTATGCCTGGAGCTCCTTGGTCACCCTAAAGAAGAAAAAAAAGTTTAAGACAGGGTGTCCTTGAACAAACACATATTTTGTATCAGGTCTTAACCTTATAAGAAGAGCAGCGCAAAAATGAAATAGAGAAATTGTATCTTCACTCAAACTTTTTTACTCAAAAACCTCTCCACATCCAACCGAACACCGTATTTAGCGGACACTCTGTATGTAGCGGTCGATTCTCAAAGCTCCGAATTTGTTTCCCATTAATGACTGTAATTTTCACATCTATTTTGCGATCACCTCCATCAAGCGGTCACCTTTGAGTGAGCCTTAACGGCCTGTTTGTATCGTCTTCCACCGTCCTGCATTGTATGGTCACTTATAGCGAAACTACTCCAATAAAACTAAGAATATTCTTTCAAGTAAAATTCAATCCATGTTTCTTGGTATAGTTCTTAAAATAGAGAGGTAAACATTTCTCGTACCTTCTCACCCTCCTCCCCTGGGGGGCCTGTTAGTCCATCCTCTCCAGGTTTACCCTAGAAAATTATGACAATTGCTTAAAGTCCAGTGTTTGCCGGCAGACGGTTAATTAAGAAAGGTTTAAGATATTAGCTAGAAAGGAAAAGTATTAAGTAATTCTTCCACCTTTATTACACAGTCCCCACGATTTACTGAAATTTGCACCTCGTTACAGTTAAGGTACTGGTGAACGTTTCTACGGTCACTTGTTGCGACAAACTAGACGCGTTCCTAATTGTGTTGAGCCACATGAATTGAGACCTCGTTTTAATGATACAACTTTCATAACATCATTATTGATATGAAACGTCAAATACCGGAAATCCAGCTTTCCCCTCGGGTCCAGGCTCTCCACGAGCTCCTTCCTCTCCCTAACAGGATAACATGCGAAGGCTTCAATTTTAAATGAATAAAGGGGGTAAATTTCTAAAGAAACAGTTTGTACTGCGTCGGTAGAGGTAACAAGGTCATTTGGTTTTATCAACTGAGTTGATAACGTACACTGGCCACCATAAAGGGTTAAAAAGCTGACGTTTCGAGCATTAGCCCTTCGTCACAGCAAATTCGTCATTCGTCATTCATCTGACGAAGGGCTAACGCTCCAAACGTCAGCTTTTTAACCCTTTATGGAGGCCAATTTACATTCTCAACTCAGTTGATAGAAGCAAATTACCTTCAATGTTTAATACTTGATAGTTTGTTAGGCCATTAATGGTAATCAATTTTTGAGACACACAAGTTCAGATTTTAGCCGACAGTTTGCGAGATATCACCTTCTTGTTCAACATGGCCACTGGTGAAACTCCCATGACCCTCTTTCTATGATCTGCATAGCAAACACTCCATTTTTTCTAAGGATAGATGTAAGTAATTCAGACAGACACGTGCGAGCGATAAGTCACGTGCGAGTGTGACCTGCGAACTCTTCGAACACCAGTTACTCAGGACATGCGCAATTGACTTGATATTCAGACGAGAGATCTGGAGTTGAGTGCTACGCACGTTCACTCACCCTACTGCCTTTCTCTCCAGCTGGTCCTTGAGGTCCTTGGCGACCTGCCCTCCCCTGTAAGAAGACACGTGATGGACAATCATCTTCAGAGTTACATTAATTTCATAATGAAATGCATGTAAAAAATTCAGTGCGCTAATAGGCTGAGAATACGTCAATTAGTCCCAAACAGTAGAGAAAGTTGCATTTGAGTGCAAAAAGGTGAAATTGAATTCATTGAAAGGAGAGCCGCGAAAGTGCAAAGAACAAAATGACGGACAAGTTAGGAGAAAGTAACAATTTAATTCGGAGTTTGAATCACACAAAAAAGCACAAACAAATGGCTGGTTGTCTGGAAGTCTTAGGCATTGAAAAGTATGAACAGGAGGCTACGAACAAACTTCACGAGGAATTTTAGGCAAGAGTTCGTCAGAGAGACGGGAAAGAATATGTGCGTGATGGTGTTCGTGTAGTGGTTACTGCTGTCGACCGATACCTAACAGAGAAAGACTACAAACGCCTGATTATGTACGACGGAGAGTTTAAAAGCTCTAACCAAATTCGTGTAGGAAGACCCGACCACTCTGGCAACGAGGCAAAGGCAATGACACGAGATAAAATCAACTAAGAGGGAAAACAAAGTCGTAAACTTGCACTTTGTTTTTCAAATTAGACCAAAAATTGCATTTGAAGAATTTAATCGTGCTTACTTATCCAAATTGCACTTGAAATCTATACGAAGAACATTTATTCCAAATCATAGAGGGGATGTAAAAGGATGTTCTCTTACAAGAATAAAACTGAAAATAATAATCTCCAGTTCGAAAAATAGTAAAGCATGCATTGAGAACTTTTAAAAATTTGTTTGGCGAACTCACCGTGGGACCCTGGGGCCCAGGTTGTCCTGGTGGTCCGCGCATTCCTTGAGGGCCCTTAAAAAAAATGGACGAGTTATAGCATTACTGGTTGATGGTAAAAGGAAAGATGAAAACGCTGACCAATACTCATCGCCTTACCTGTGCACCTGGGAGGCCAATCGCCCCTTCTACGCCTTTGGGTCCTACAGATCCCTGACGAGACAAACAAATGATCCTGAGAAATAATAATCTTACTGTGGCTTGTCCCCTTACATCAGTATGCATATTCTCCATACTTTTCTCTTTTTCATTTTCTTTCGATACCAACAGAGAGAATTGCTTGAAGACCAAGAAGTTTTCAAGTTGGTGATCATCTCCTTTCTTCTCATGATCTTCATGTTTAATTTTGTGGTGATACTAAGGGGGGGGGGGAAAATTACACACTGGCAACTCTTATGTGTTAAAGCTCAAATTTAAACATAATTTCCAATCAATTTTCAAAACTAAAACACGTGTAATAATTATTAAAGTAAAAATCTCTAGAAAGTTGTCACTTACTGGCGGTCCCATGGCACCTTTCGGTCCTGGTGTTCCTGGCTGACCCTGAATAAAAAGAATCAAGAAAACTGCTCAGATCCAAAGAGAAAATTTAGTTTAAAATCAGATGTTTGAGTGTTGGCGTTTTATTTTCCAGAGCCGCAAGATCTTAATGCAAAAGAAAAGACCATCATGTTTCTCTCCTATCATCTTGTAGTAGCAGACCAGAAAAACTCCAGAACTACGGACTACAGAACTACAGCTCTCACCTGTGCACCGTCTTTACCGTCCACGCCTGGTTTGCCGGGCTCTCCCTGATAAGGCAAAATAAAGAATGAGATAAACAGAAAAAGGAGGTGTAATTCATGTTGTGCAACCGAAACCGTTTCTTCTGAAAAAAGAAAAACGCAGATCTAAACAGAACTAAGCTAAAATTCACTTCAGGAGTTACCACTTTCCCAAGAAATTACGTAGTGATTTTGTCTGCGTTTCGGAGATTGAGAAATAATCCATTAATCTTAAAAATCAGAAAAGAACTGTGATGCACCTTTGCACCATCCTTGCCAGACTCCCCTGGGTCTCCTGTCGATCCTTGGGGTCCCTAGGAAAGAGAAAAATAGCACTATCATCAAGAACAGTACATAAATCAACACAACTTTTTGTCATGTCTCTATTTGGATCCTAACAAACATGGGCTGACAGAAGATGCGGTATTGCGTTCTCACCGGTCGGCCACGTTCTCCTTTAGATCCTGGGCTGCCCCTCTCACCTGCAGAGCCCTGAATCAATAAAAGGATGTTATAAATTAACCTGGACAGACTGCGGTGAGATGTTGACTTACAGCACTCTTTAACGTATGTTGCCACATGGTAATGTCTTTATCAAGTGTTTAAATGTTTGCCGACAACTTCGACGAGCTCTCTACAAACCCAATACTTTTCACAGGCAGATTCCTGCGGATTCCTTTTTTACCACTCCAAGTCTCCGGTTCTTTTTTTTTTTTTTAACGCTGAAGCACACATCTAATTCTTTACTAATTCTTGGTTTGACGTTCAGCAGTTCTTAGGGAAGTAAGACTTTTCCTAATTGAATCGTTGTCTAAAGTGATGCCTCTATATTGGGTAATAATGATATGAAATTTCAAATTGACAATAACCAACAATAAAAATTTTGTCAAGTGGTAACAGTAAGGTATTCCCTGCTGTTATCAAATAAAACAAATTATTTTCTTTCATTTCTCTTTGTGATTGGAACATAATAATAGATAACTCACCCGGCCACCTGGTATTCCGGGGGGTCCTGGCGGCCCTGTTTTTCCTTGGGGTCCCTAAACATCACAACAGAAACGCACTCAATATGAAGACCATCAAAAAACATCGCGAGGACTGTAAGTTTTAATGAAAGAATAAGATAAACTAATAGGCTCTCCCAAAACTTGGATCTCACCGTCTCTCCACGAGGTCCAGGAAATCCTGGAAGGCCCGCTTTTCCTGGCATACCCTGTCATGAAAAACATATTTTCCAATTACTTTTTACTGTAAGTGCGCTAGAATGAACCAAGTGAATAAACCACGGCTTACCATTGGTCCGCGAGGTCCTGCCTGTCCTCGGTCCCCCTGAGGCCCTGGAGGCCCCTGTTTTGACAAAGATGTTGTTTAGCTATAAACAAGACACATGCTTTGCAGAAGTCTAATTTATTGAAGCTTTCAGGTCACAAGTAAAATAACGCTTAAATTTGCACGTCAAAGAAACTTACTCAAATTGATGTGACGTAGTTCCCTCGAGATAACAAAATTATTTCCCCGTCAATTTTAGAGCACCGTGCATATCACTTCATTATAGCACTCCTCTCTTCAATGTAGAATCCTCTTATCATATCATGCGTATATCAACATAGCTTGTCGCCTCTACGTGATTTTATTCACTTGAGGCTGTTTTTTAAGTAACTTCACGATCCTGTAACACTACTTACTGGGTTTCCGCGGTCACCAGGTACTCCGGGCTCACCAGCAGCACCCTAAAAACAAAATTGAAAGGGCGATTGAAAGGTAAACATCTTGCACTAGTTCATACTCTGTGCTCTTTAAGAGGTTAAGGTAAAACAATGACGGAAAGAGGTTGCAAGAATATTTATCAAGAATATGAGATAGAAATGTGGTAACTAAGGATGCCAGGTAAATAAACGAAGATTTTAATTGTAACTGATACATGATGAAAATCCAAAATGATGGTGCGCAACGTGAACAAAACGTGGAGGAGTTAAATCAATGAACACCAACCAGTGGCAAAATAGACGCAGACTTGAACACAAGATTTCCAGTTTATCAATCGAGCCTTCTAGCCACTGGGGTTCCACTTACTAGAACTCCGCGTCGTTAGCGCATCTTTGAAGGCGCTTTTTTTCCTGGCAGGCAAGGTCCTCTAAAATAGTTCCTTGTTATCATTATAATCTAATCAGGCCTTTTACCTCAGTGCTTTCAACAGATCTTTGTCATTCCTCGCAGTTACCGTTAGCATTTAAACAGTTTACATCGTCACTGTTATTGTTGCATCAGTATCATGAAACTCGACCGGTATGCCTCACCTTTGCACCGTTGGTCCCAGGAGTACCAGGGGATCCCCGCTCACCGCGCGGACCCTGTGGACACATAAAGGAAGTTGATTACAACAAGTCAACATACCATCGACGCACAGACATCTTCAGGGCTTAGCTCAACAATTCACGGATCTATCCATCAAGAACATAACTTGCAAGATTTATGCTTACGTCATCGTGGTTGTAAGTTCACGATCATTCAACAGGAAAATAAGGATAGAAAATGAAGTTTATTAGACAGCAAGAGGGTGTGTTGGTGTAAGTGTGTTCAAGTGAGTGTGGAGGGATGGTTGGGTGGTCGGGGGAGGGCGTTAGGGAAAAGGGTATAAGGGTACCAAATTTTTCACTTGTTTCCTTTAACCTTGTTACTTTACAGAGACACCAACTTTGTTTTTACTCCAGTCTTTCTTTTCTTAGTGTTCAACACTTCTACAACAATATAGCACCCTATGAACATTAATGCTATGACACTCAGCAGACGGCGGGTTAATGAGACTAAGTGAAAGATGTGTTTGAAAGAAAACGAAGAGGAGAAGGGGGGGGAGGGTTTGTAGCCTGACTGTACCCTTGATCCTCTTGCTCCTTGTGGCCCTGTTGGTCCAGGATCCCCCTAAAAAAAGAACAGCAAAAATAAAAGGAACTCATGATATATGTTAATCTTCTCTGTTCTAGCCTATTGCTGGTCTCTCATTACCCATCTATTACTAAGGGCCCTGTCCAAGAAGGTTTAACTTCATTGACTGGACTTGCAAATAGAAGGGATTTTTGGAGCTCCTTTTTTCGGCTATTACATGTATCGCCCCTTTGATGTTTTCCTATCTTACGAAACAAATAACTTGTGGCTCCTTTCGCACTGAGTGTGGTGTTGCCAATCCTGAAGAACAAATCCAAATAAGATGATGTAGCTCCTTGAAAATTTAACTGTTAATTAACATGTATGTTCTTGGGCATTATAACGTTTTTAAAATCTCATTATTTGCTCCAAATGTTATGCAAGCCTCTTTTCAAATCAATTTTTTAAGATGGTATAAAAAAGAAAAATTAGAAACCATCAGCACTAAGCCATCTCCCTTGCAAACTCACCCTGATTCCCTTTGATCCATCTCGTCCTCTAGCCCCTGTTGCGCCAGTATTGCCCTGCAATTAAAAGATACATATATATGAGGATATATCGATACACATAGCCTTGATTATTTTCTAATACAAACCTCTTCCTCACCAAGTTCGAGATCCATACTGAAAGTTATGGACCAAGTTTTTTCTGCTCTGAGTTATGGCCCAAGTGCAAAGTGGGCAGACCATAATTCTGAGCAGTAAAAATGAGTGAAAAATAGTGAAATACAGCCTGCTAAGATGACCGATCATAGTGCTTCACAATCTGAGAGATATAATAATCTTACATCACTGCTTATTATACAAGCTTAAAGCAATTCCATTTACTGATGAACAGTGCATAAAGATTTGTCTGCTCCACCTTTTCTCCTGGTTCACCAGGGTATCCAGGCATTCCCTGTGGTCCTCTCTCTCCCTGAAAACAGAGTCAGTTTAAATAAATGTTAAGTGAGCAGTGCAAGGAAATTGAATGACATTTCTATTTACATTTCTCTGCGTTCTCTAGTTTTTGTCTGAAACTAACATACATGGAGGAGTTCTCTGGTCTGATCATTATGTGATTACAAGTAATAAACTTAATGCGATTACATGTAATAGAGCACTTTTGATTATGTGTGGTAAAACCAAAACCAAAATAATCTCAACAGCAGATCTGAAGAAACTTAGAGTAAAACTGAGCCTAGCAACTTGAAACTTAGATTAAAAACAAGCCTAGCAACTAGAAAATTTGAGTAAAAACCAGCCAATATTGCTTAAGTCATGATTGGATTTAGTTTTGCATCTGATTGGTTGAGAGAAGTAAAATTTTTTAGACCAATCAAAGAGAAAATCTGGGATTACTTTTGAAAATTGCTCTGATAATTGTGATACCACCAACAATAATAATAAATAATAATAATAATAATTATTATTAATAACTACCTTTACTCCTGTTGGTCCAGGGGGGCCTGAAGGTCCTGGGATACCACTTCTACCCTGAAATAATCAAAGGATAACACTAACTATGACAAAAAGATATTAAAACATTTTTATGAACAGATGTATTTTTAAATTTATATAATCACATTTTTATACTCGATTGTACCGATAATCTTCATTAATTGTTCACTGACTGTAAAGTCCCACGTCTGATGAGGCTACTTATTTTTTAATAAAGACTACATTCATTTATTCATTCATCCTGTACAAAATGGTACAGTGATGGTCACAACTGTTGATAGCCCCTCCTTAGTATTTGGAATGAATGATTTGCTCAATTGTCATTAGAGCTGTATATTCTTCTTTTTAATTATTTAAGCCATTGGAAATTCCCCCTTTTTTGTCTATTTACTGTCTGTCATTTGAAGAACCCTAACAAAAAGATGCTCTTAAGAAAACTTACTTTCTCGGAGTGACGTTCAATATTAAAAAATTGATCAAGTGCGCATAATTGAAATGAAGAACAAGACACAAAGCTGTCACAATTTACAATCGGTCCTCTTGAAAAAAATTCTGTCAGTATTAATTTATCATCAATAAATTAGGGAAAAAAATTGGTTTTGTATCACTGAGGTAGCTGGCAAACCAACCTTTGGCCCTTCAGGTCCTTCACCTCCTGGCACACCAACCTCTCCTGCGGCACCCTACAAGGAGAGCAATGGGTTGAGTGATTACAACATACAGAAGTTCAAGGAAATTATTCACTGGAATAAACCTTACCTCTCTAAGAATAAATAAAGAGTTCTTATCAAGTCAAATTCAAATTATTTCATATTATACTACTTTAGGGAATACTCAAATGTGTCAGGTAAGGTAACTGGATTTCTGACAGAGAAGGGACTCAAGTAATCAAAGTAATTTTATCTATAATGCTGGCTGAATATAAAACTGGCCAAGGATTAATTCATGCAGGTTGGGGTTATTTTCAGGAACAGCAAACATTTTCCATTTACTTACATCTTCTCCTTTGGGCCCCTCGTCACCTTTTGCACCAGGGAATCCCGACAGTCCCTGTAAGATATTATCATAAGGTGTAAATTGACAACTCATTATGATGAAGAGATGAAGACTGAGTCTCGATAAGGCCAGTGGTGCACAGCTGTGAGAATGTATTCAGGTTGGTGCCACCTGAATTTGCTGTATGGGTGTTTACTCGTATGAATTTCATTGGTACATGCTCTGTATTTATCACTTTTCTTATTTGAACTGTGGTATTTTATAAGGATTTCCAGCGCAAAGAAAAGCTGTACTTGCACACATTGGTTGATAGGTGTGTTTTGGTGAGATTTCAGCTTCCTTTTGAGAAAGTTGTGCACACCCAAGATGCAATCTTTGTTTCTCCCATGCTATATTACAACTGAATTCTTCCTGGCACTAGCTAAAATGTTCAAATTCCATAAGGAAAACAATTCATCAGAATTAACAGATTAAAATCAATCTGAACAAAAAATTGTGATGAGAGTTTTTCTTCAGAAAATGCACAGTGAAAAAAAACACAAGATTTATCAAGGGGTTAGACTGGTTTAGTGAAACGTTATCAACGCTGTGCTTCTAGGAAAATTGAATGGAGCCCAGTGCTCTGAAACTGTGAAATCCAGGGTGCCCAGTATGTGCTTTGTATGAAAAAACTAGGATTCCTGAGTGGCCCAAGAGCAAAAGTAAGGCGCCAGAAGTCACCAGGCATTACTAGACCGCAGCCTTACATGCTTATCTCGCTGGTCTATGATCAATTTGTAAAATCTATCTGAATATAGCTAAAATAACAATTGGTATGAGCCAACATACCAGGGCTTCAGGTTTATAATGCACAGGTGAAAATGAAATACAAACCTCATCACCCTTCTCTCCTTCTGGACCTCGTTTTCCTCTGCTCCCCTGTGCAAGAAATTAGCATGCTTCAATCAACCAATTTTTTTATTTAAACTTCTTTTGACTTAATTAAAGATTGAATTCCAGACGCAAACAGAATAACATTGAAATAAATTTGTTAAAATCTCTTAATCAACAATTGAAAGTATTTCATTTCTGATTGGTCAAAGATAAATGCAAAAATAGGTTAAAGACAGCTAACAATACAGGATTTCTCAAAAATTATAAGCTTTTGATTCAAAATTCATTCAGAGAATTAACTTTAAGAGTGGGTTGAAGTATGTCAAATTAGAGGGAATGAATTGTTTAAAATTTGTTCGAGAAGAAAGATAAAAATAACTACAAAAATGTCCATAAGCTGTAGCATTGTATCTCACCTTTGGTCCAGGGAGGCCTGGGTAGCCTTGTGGTCCTCTAACACCTGATGCACCCTGGGAAGTACATCCATTCAGTTTGTCAGTCATAATATTAATAAGTTAAAACTTAATTAGAAACAGAACAAACTTAAAAACAGTGCAAAACAAGAGTGAAAAACTTTGTAACTAAATTATGGTGCTCTGAGACAAAATTACAAACACATGCATTCAACCCACTGAAAACCTAAAAACCAGAAAAACCTGACAAACCACAAGTTTGGAATAAGTCGTTAATAGGTTGTTTAATAATTTCCAATATTGTGAATGCTGCAAAAAGTAACCTTCTTTAATTAAGAAGGTTAAGGGGTTTATTTAAGAAGCCTCTCTTCCCCCCTGGTCAAAAACTTTAGAGCATTTATCCCTCAATAGATTTTATTAACACATTACAATAAAACTGACGTACTCTGTCGCCTTTAGGCCCCGGGGGTCCTTCAATGCCAGGGTATCCCTAAAACAGTAAAAAATATCAGATTTCCCTTCATAGAAGGAATACATATTCTGCAAACCCATGCTCATCTTCATGCATAGCATAATTAAACATTAATTTTATAATCAAAAAGGGGTTCTGTCCTCGTGTACCGATTCACAAGAGCCAATACAAAAGACCGAACAATACAAAACAGCCAACCTATGACTCCTAAACAAAGAAAGAACAATGGTAATTCCCTTGTGAACTGGTACACCAGGACAGAACCCAAAAAGGTTTAACAAAATAGTTTTTTAAATTACCATTAAGACTTAACTTGATGATGACAAAGAAATCATGCAAACATCAGGTAATACACGCCAACTTCATTCTAATTTCAGCAAAGGATCTTGTTTAATTCTCCAGTGAACAACTGCATTTTTAGGTAAGCCATCAATTACGCTTTTCCATATCCACAAATTATATTGTTATAAACTATGTATTTAAATTGCAGGTTACATGTACTCATTAAAAGTCAAAATAACTTTCTCTCTACTTACTGGAACACCATCAGTACCTGGGAAACCAGGCATACCAACTTTTCCAGCTTCACCCTACAGATAGTACATGAGGAATATTAACTGTGGTGCATGGATGACAAATTATTTTAAGGAAAGCATTTCCTCTACAAGGATTAAAAAGTAAAAGGCCCAAAGTGCCATGCAACATACCTTAGGTCCCATAGGCCCTTGGGGACCTGGAATACCAGGAGGTCCCTTGGAAAGGAGAAAAAGAACAAGGAACAGGAGGTCAAATATGGACATGGAGATCAATATTGTAACATTCTGTGTATGCCATTAGGACCTACATTATATGAGCAAAAGGACTCTAAGACATAAGAGTGAACCAACCATGTTGTTGTGAGAAATGTGCTTTGACTAAAGTTGTATTCAGTTGTATTCCCCCATCATGTGCACTCTATTAAGCTTTTGATTTGAACGAAGATATCTAAAATGGCAGCAATACATACATAAATCATGAATACTTTCAGAACATTATGTAGCTCTACATTGTTATTACCGAGGGTCCTCTCATTCCTTGCACACCTTGAATTCCTGCAGCACCTGGGGGACCCTACGTAAGAAGGTAAAAAAACAAAGAAAGTACAGTCTGGTTACATGCCAATAGCTCCATAGCATTGGAGCTTGTCCTAGTTTCTCCAATGCAAAGCCACTCTAATGCAAATAAAAAAAAATAGCTGCACACCCTGAAAAGAATTCCAATCCATCCCAGGTTGCACCTGGATTCAGTTTGGTTCTATAAGAGTTAAGTACCTGCCCACCATGCAATGCAATGTTATGACCTGCAAGGGCTTGATCATGGACCCTTGTTTTTGAGTCCAACTGGTTTAACATTAGACCAGGTAATCTCTGGTAAGAGGGAGAGTCGTGCATGTGCATGCAGGCGATACCTGCATGCACATGCATGAGGGAGAGTCATGCATGTGCATGCAGGCGATACCTGCATGCACATGCATGTAACAACAATCAACAACACACGGTCAACAGAACCACAAATGGTAATTTCATGGCTTTAAACCATACGCTAGGTGTGTTGCTTGTGAATCAGATTCACGATAATTTCCCAGGGTGATATTTGAGTTCTCTCCAATGAATATGTGAAAAACATCTTTTTTATCTCATCACTATATCGTGGTAATTAATCTTGTTACAAGAAAAATGTACAAGACAGGATATACCACTTCCACTGTTGACTCTTCAGCATCAGAAGAATCATGAAGTACAACATATTCAATTTGACAGCAAAAGGCAAAAAAAGAGGGATCTAGTCTTATGCAAGTGAATCTTTTCAAGTGTAAACAAGTTTAATTGCTTTATCCCATGCCCTACATAAAATATTTAATACATAATAAACACACGAGGGGTTGCCCTTACAAAACTGTTTCCTTCTTAGAACAGGCGATGTCCCTAGACAAATATCCCAGCTTACTTTTACACCAAATCACTTATTTCCTTACCGGTGGTCCAGTGGGTCCTGGTGGGCCTCGCTCTCCAGTACTTCCCTTTTTATGAAAAGAACCAAACGATAAAGTCAAAAGGTAACAGAGTTTAGCGTTTAGGGTTCTGTCTCAAAACAACCAGTCATCCTAACTGGACCCTTTCATAATTTGTAAAACTTTAGAGAGAGCTCGGTGAAATACCATTTAAATGTCTGTTAAATTTTGCAACTTTGTAGAGTTATATGTTCAACACGTCACTCTCACACTTGACAGTTTTACTAATTTCACTGAACTACAAGAGTGTTGAAGGACTTTCCCTACCTTGTTCATGCAAAATTAATGATTTGAAAACCTGTGGAAGTGTTTTTTTCCCGATACTTACTTGCAATCCTCGCGGCCCTGGCAGCCCCCTTTCTCCTGAATCTCCTTGGGGTCCCTGCAATATAAAATCTTAATTAACTTCAACTTTTTTAACTCCATATTTAATTTTTTTTTCAATCAGCACAAAGTTGTTCAACGTATGTGAAAATGTCACGTGAAACAAAAATTAAAGTTAGAATACCAAAGAAATATCGATCAAGTCGTGTATAACTGAGTAATCCGCAATTACTTAATGGCTTATTTGAATTCTGACCATCTTCCATGCGTTTAACCCCATTCCGCACTCCTCACAACATAAAAACTGTTTACAATCTAATGAAAAAGGTAATGCCGATCGCCAACAAAGTTCATGAATGTACACTTGAGATATTTTTACCTACGATGCGTGTTGAAAACAGGACAACCCTAAAAGCTGGAACGGTGGAACGGTGGAATGGCTGGATGGCGGAAAATGACCCCAAATTCTAAAACATGGAATGGATGTCAGGGCACGTTGCACGAATTTTATACAGACACTCAAGCGTTTGGCTCATTCATCCCCACGACGATAACGCGCGTGACTAAAATTAACTATTATTACTATTTTTTTCTTTTACTGAGTGGTATGAATAATAATGAAGCTTTAGACATGAAAGATAGCAGCGTTTTGGAGTTTTAAACCTGTTTAATTACCTTTTGTTAAGCTAAATTTGCCACGAGTTTTAGTCGTGGCATAAAAGTCGCACAGCGTGTGAAAACTAACTTGACATACCCCATTACAAGAAACAGTTGTAGCTTTGATCATGATACGTTTCCTGGTCACGTCTGCATTGATTTAATGAAACAAAAATATCTCAAACGCTTGTAAATGTGAGAACCTCACAGGAACGTTTTCAGGGTTCTCAAAATATAAGGACGTTCAGCCCCAGCTACCGTGAAACTTACACTAGCGTGAGAGCAAGGCCTCGTTTGGAGCCCTTCAATACGAGTGTTTCTTCGTCCACCAATAAGTTTTGGGCCTTGAGTAACACTAGTTGAAGAGAGGTTTGCAGGGGGTCACGCGCGTGGGAATTTCTCGTGAATTTCTCTCGTGCGTGAAAAAGAAAGTTAGCAGAAAGAAGTCGTCAAGAAGAATTTGCAGAATTTCTTCGCGACTAGGTGTCCAAAACACCACCATCCTACTATTAAATTTACGGCTTACATATCAGAGGAAGAAATAAATTTTCTGGACAAAAAAAGAGGCTATTTCACCAATTCGTTTGGCGGATTTCTTCTGTTCCTCAACAAATAGACTCTTTCAACGTTAACGCCGCCATTTTGCCGGGGGTGCAAAACTGCTGGGGCGAGCGCAAATGTACAGTGAATGTATGGAAAAAGTCGGGAGATTGATGCTCGGTAATTTGGGTAAGGTTGACATTCTGCAATTTCTATGAATTACGAAGTAAAGATACCTAGCAAAAGATGTTGCCGATTAAATATGAAGGGTTCAGGCTCGCCGAGAAGTTAGAAATCTTATTTTTAGTTTTTCATACAAATGCTTTTAAATTTTCCCGGAAACGGCGGTTTGGTTTTAGAGACAAATATATGGAAAATCAAAATCTTAATTTGCGTCTTTTTTCGCGAGACCTCATATCTCAAATTTGATCGGTAAACTGGTAGGACTGGTATCTTTAGTTTGTAATTCATAGAAATTGCACGATGTCAACCTTCCTCAAATTATCGAGCATCATTTTCTCAACTTTTCCCATACATTCACTTTACATTTTGCGTTCGCCCCAGCACTTTTGCACCCCCGGCAAAATGGCGGCGTTAACCTTGAAAGGGTCTATTGGAAATCGTCAACTTTATGGCCATGAGAAATTCCCACGCGCTGGACCCCATTCAAACCTCTCTTCACCTAGTGTTACTCAAGGTCTAAAACTTTTTCGTGGACGAAGAAACGCTCGTATTGGAGGGCTCCTAACGAGGGCTTGCCCTCACGTTAGTCTAAGTTTGTTCCTGTGCAGACGTGACCAGGAAACGTGCTATGCAAAATTTAGCTTAACAACAGGTTGCAGAATTTCTCGAGATGTGACGTCATAGGATCTCGTGATTATCACGTGTTGAGTTTTTCCTGAGAAGTTTTAATTGATTTTAATGCGTTCAGGAACGTTGTCGAATAAAATAGTTTTAAAGATTTTGTGTATACGCATAATTTTACATGGTCCTTCGAGCCGGATCATCAGTTTGGAGTGAAAGCGTTTGGAAAATTGTTTGGAATGGAAGACTTGAAGAGATTAAAGCGCCGACGCGTGGGTCACAGAAGTGGAAAAGGTTGATGAATTGTTAGAAGAATACGATGACTCGAAGAATGGGAAGTTGAAAGCACTGAGAGATACCCTCAGCGAGAAACTTGGAGTTTTGAGCGATTTGGAGTCGAGTGTTCTGGATCAAGTGGAAGATGAAGAGATCGAGGAGGAAATAGAACTGTCGAGCGAGCTGAAGGCTGAAATACAGGAGCGAATTGTCAACATTGACCTTGCGACTGCAGCGATTTCGTCCAATAGTGGAAGTGAGGACGAGAAGGAGTCTGTCAGCTCAGCTGGAAGCGTAAATTCGTCAAAGAAATCGGGTAAAGGTGAGCAACGTTGGAAAAAGATAACCCAAATCGTGAAGTTACCGAAACTAGTTATCAAGAAATTCACTGGAAACCACATGGAATACCAAGCGTTTTGGGACAGTTTCGAAGCGGCCATTCACACTAATGAATCGCTAAATGACATTGAGAGAAGCTAAACTATTTACGTACATACCTTGAAGGCCCCGCCGCTGCAACGATTGCTGGTCTCGCATTGACAAAGGAGAATTACGCCACTGCTGTGGAACTCTTACGTGACAGATATGGAAACAAACAAATGATAATAAATTCGCATATGGATTCCATGCTGAAGATTCCTCGAGTGGTTTCGGCGTTGGGTATCGAACAAGTAAGAACGGTGTATGACAAGATTGAGATTAATGTGCGTAGTCTACAGGCTCTCGGAATTAAATCAGAAATGTATGGAAGCCTACTGATACCAGTCATAATGGATAAAATTCCCGAAGAGTTTCGAATGATGGTCAGCCGCAAGTTGAAATCGGACACCTGGGATATTAATGAATTAATGGCGGCGCTTAAGGAAGAGCTGGAAGCGCGCGAGAAAAGTACATTCGTGGGTGGAAACATCAACGTTGTGGAAAGGCCGTGGTTCAAATCGAAGAAGGTCCATGATCCTAGTGCCGTTGCAGCCTTACATGTCACCGAGCGAGTTCAAACAAATTGCTATTTTTGTAATCGCCAAGGCTACAAATCGTTCAACTGCATCTTAGTTACAGATCCAGAACGCCGGAGATAAATTTTGAAGAGAAAAGGAAGATGTTTTGTTTGCCTCAGAACTGGACATGTTGCGAATCATTATGAATCAGAGCTAACATGCAGTAAGTGTAATGGGAAACACCATGGTAGTCTTTGTCTTGCCCTCGAGCTTCCGTCCTTGCACTCAGAGAACTTGGTAATCAGAACGTTTGGATCTGATTCAGATCGGCCAAAGCGATGTGTCGTAGTGTAATTTTGTGAGAGCAAAACAGAAGGTGGGTTTAATTTGGATCTGAACGCCTACGCATTGCCAAGTATTTGTTCACCGTTGTGTTATCAGGGATTCGAGTTCGCGAAGACCTGGTATGAGCACCTGTCCAACTTGGAGTTGGCGGACAGCTTTACTGGTGCTACAGAAATACCGATCGATATCTTGATTGGAAGCGATTTCTATTGGAATTTTATGACTGGCGAAACACGAACAGGAAGGAATGGAGGATCAGTTGCCATCAATACGCATTTAGGATGGGTCTTGTCAGGACCAGTAAACAAAGCAAAGGAGACGCCGTCTGATTCTTCTGTCTTCTTGAACAACACCCATGTGCTAAGGTTGGACACTGAGCCAAGAGCAGAGAATGATTGTTCATTGAAGGAAGAGCTATCGAAGTTTTGGAACATTGAGGCCTTAGGAATAGCGCTCGAGAGTGAAGATGCAGTCTACCAGCAGTTCTTGAAAACGGTTCACATGAGGAATGCACGATACGAGGTGTCACTTCCGTAGAAGGAAATGCATCCAGCCTTACCAGACAATTTCAGCTTAAGTTATACTCGCTTAATTCACTGGTCAGGCGCCTGAGAAAAAAACCAGATGTGCTGCGAGAGTACGACAAGGTAATCAAAGATCAAGAGTGCAAAGGCATCGTAGACACTGTTGGTTCGGAGGCCGCCGCGAAGGTTCATTACCTACCCCATCGTGAAGTCGTGCGATCAGACAAGCAGACGACCAAGTTAAGAATTGTTTTGGACGCTTCTGCCAAGAGAGATGGCCCATCCCTGAATGATTGCGTGTATGCTGGACCGCCCTTGTCACCATTGTTGATGGACATCATGATACGATTTCGTTGTTTTAAAATGGCCCTGGTTGGAGACATAGAAAAGGCCTTCTTGATGGTAGGAGTTGAAGAACGGGACAGCGATGCACTGAGATTCCTGTGGGTGAAGGACCCGTTTGCTGATCAACCGGAAGTAGAGGTGAAGAGGTTCACACGATTGGTGTTCGGGTTGTCATCCAGCCCTTTCCTGCTTAATGCCACCTTGAGATACCACATGAACAAGTATGCAGTTGGTGATCCCGAATTCGTGAAGAAGTTTTTGGAGGCTTTAATTTGTACGTTGGTGATCTTTCCACTGGCGACCAAACCGTAGAAGGAACTTATCAGTTGTGTTTGAAGTCAAAGTTGAGGATGTTGGAAGCTAGCTTCAACATGAGAAAGTGGTCGTCCAATTCAAAGGAACTAATTGAAAAGATAAAGGCTTCCGGCTACAATCAAGAAGTGAAATGCAGTGACGAGCTGAAGAAGTTGCAAGAAGATGATGGAACTTATACCAGAGCAACCCTGGGAAGCAATCACGAAGTTAACGAGGAAAGGGAGCACAAGATACTGGGGATTACCTGGAATCATGATACCGACGAGCTGAGTGTTGATCTAAGTCACATTGTCAAGTCCTCAGCGGACCTGCTT